TAAGGACACCACAACAGTTCAATCCGGAGATATAAATATTTTCTTCTATGTTGTTTTTAAGTCATGTGTTTGTTTCTGTTGATGTGCTTATGTGTTTAAAATAAAAATTAATACAACAGAAAAACACAAGGAATAACAGGCCATAAACTTCTCATTTTTTGATCTGTAAGGTACCCAGAATCATACAGGAGATAGGAAACAAATAGAAGAAAATATTTATATCTCCAGATTGAACTGTGGTGGTGTCCTTAGTGTTCTGTGAGCTTGGTTGTTTTATTTATTTATTTATTATTTATTTATTTATTTGGAGTTTTTATATGCCGCCCAATCCCAAAAGACTACAGGCGGCTTACAAGAAATATATAGATGTTAATGGATGTTTCATTACTCAACTGGGTAACATCATCAGTGCTAGCCACTTGTACATAAAGAGAGAGCAAATCTCAGTCCCTTCTAGCAGTGATGATATTATCTAGTTGGGTAGGGGTGGGCTGTTACGGGTTTGCCCAGGTTCGGGAGAACCAGGAGCTAACATTATGGCCAGTTCAGAGAACCTCCAAATCCCATCCCTGGCTGGCCACCCCACCCCGTCCCTCCTACTGTGCCCCTCCCCTCCCAGGAGTCTCCACGTGGCCCATTTTGGGTGCGAGATAAGTGCAGGGCCCATGCGGACGCTCTGGGAGGGGGGAAACGGGCCTCCCGGAAGTTCTGGAAGACCAGAAATGGGCCTCCGAAGCGCAGGGGAGGACATTTTCACCCTCCTGGAGACTTGAGGAAAGCCTCTAGAGCCCGGGGAAGGCAAAAACGCCCCCCCCCAGCCATGGTGCAGGAGGCCAACTAGGCCACACCCACCATGGCCATGGCCATGCCCACCCAGCAACCAGGTAGAGAACCCATTGCTGAAACTTTGGAAGCCCACCTCTGTAGTTGGGTAATTAAACATCTGCAAGAAAACAACCAAGTTCAGAGAATACCACAAAACTAGGAGAATTGGCTGTCCATGCCATCAGTGAGAATGTATCGACCTGACCTAAAACAAAGTCACCAGAGATCAAACCGATTTATATTCCCAAGAAGACACCAAAGTAGAGTCAAACAAGTGAGCAGATTCTGCAGAGGTTCTCTGTCTGCTGATTGTTTCAGAATCCCAAACTGAAAAATCTGTTCAAGTAATGGTCAGCTTTTGTCTCATTTGTGTACCTACTTTCCATTCCCAGCCTTGAGCAGCGGAATCTCTCCCTGGAGACCGAAATGATGAACCTCCACGACGAACTGGATCAAGAGAAGAAGAAGTTCACGATGGTCGAGATCAAAATGCGCAATGCCGAGCGGGCCAAAGACGACGCGGAGAAACGGAACGACATGCTGCAGAAGGAGATGGAGCAGTTTTTCTCCACGTTCGGGGAACTGACAGTGGAGCCGCGGAGGACAGAGCGAGGGAACACCATATGGATCCAGTGAGGGCTGTTCCCGCCGCTCAACAAGACTGTGGGATTCTGGGAAGAGGATAGCTGTGGTATTTTACTGCATTGTTTCTCAACCTTGGGGACTTGAAGGGGCGTGGCCTTCAACTCCCAGAATTCTGGGAGTTGAAGTCCACACCAGTGCTGTGTTCTGGATCCCATCACAACTGGTACACTGCGATGGGGCTAGGCGTCCACCACGGGCACGCGCGCTACACACGCATGCGCATCCACCACCTGCGACACTCCAGCTGCTTGGCGGAGCATCGCACAGGTGCCGTACACTGTACGCGCATGCACAAATAGCCCAGTTGGCTTAAATACAGGTAAGGAACGCGGGAGGGCAAGTGGGCCCTCTAAAGCACCGTTTTGGTACAGTGGCTGCTGCTCCCAGCAGCCACCACTACGCCCGTACCGGGACATACCGGCCAGAACCCACTACTGGTCCACGCCCTTTCAAGTCGCCAAGATTGAGAAACGCTGTTTTATTGTAACAGGTGACTGGTCACCTGACTGAGGCTAGCACTCAATGTAATGTTACGAGATCTCCGGAGACTCTTCATGACTGCATCCACCCACCATATGTCTGCAAGTTGCTCTCAGTGGAGAAATCCTTACACCTCAATCCATCATCATGCTACTGTTACGTGTTACAGCAGGCTTTGGGCATCTAGATTTTAAATAGGTTATGTGGGACGGGGGAGGGGTACGATAGAAAGAGGCGAAAGATTATTTTAATGCAAGTCTTATATTGAAACTGTCCAATGTTAACTTCATTGCAATCCAGCTTTTTCTCCCTTGCACTTAACATAGTAAGCTATTTTTTGGGCCTTGTGTTTATAATCAGCTAATTTTGTATATTATTTCTCTCCCCACCCTTCGGTTGCCCTGTCACTGCAGAATTAATTATATAATATATATAGATATATATATATATAATATATATGTATATTTATACACACACACCGTCACACACACGAGTTTGTGTCTTTGCGTGTGTATATATATAAAATGTTAGCTATTAAAACGAGCAACAACAAAAAAAAAGTATTGTGTGATTGTGCTGTTTATGCCAATTGAGTTGCCCATGACCAAAAAGAAAAAGAAAAAAAAAACCCAGAAGGGGGAAAAAACTGTACATAATTTTATAAATATACGACATGACCATCGACTATGCTTGTTTTATTTCCCCCTGGAATTCTGGGAGTGGGCTATCTTAAGGAAAGAAAACAGGGGTGGGATTCAGCCGGCTCGCACCTATCCGGGAGAACCGGTTGTTAACTTTCTAGGCAGTTGGGAGAACCGGTTGTTGGAAGAAATCTCATTTTGATTCTTTCCCACTTTACAGGGCTGATCCTGTAAGGAAGGCAGGAAGGAAACATTCTGGTGTTGTTTCTAGCCTAACCTTTATTGCCCTGCTTACAGAAACTGCCTCTCTGGTTAACCCTTGTTACATCGTAACAGCTAAGACAAAGCGCCCATCGACCTGAGTGACATTGAGTTGGCCACACCCATCCAGTCACATGACCGACGAGCCACACTGGTCATTAGGGCAGAGAACTGATTGTTAAATTATTTGCATCCCACTATGTCATAATCCTGACCAAAATCTGATCATTATCCACCTGACTGACTGCCTTGTACCAAAAGGATAGCTTTTTCTTAAACCTCGGAAAAACAAGAGGAGCCATTCACCATATTCTAATAGAGCGGATCAAAAGTAGTCCTTGACCTATGTCCACAATGGAGTTCAATATTGCTGCTGCTAAGCAAAACACTTGTTATGTGAGTTTTGCCCCAATTGACAACATGTTAAGTNTCCCCTCCCAGGAGTCTCCACGTGACCCGTTTTGGATGCGAGGTAAGTGCAGGGCCCATGCAGAGGCTCAAGGAGGGAGGGAAATGGGCCTCCTGGAAGTTCCAGAAGACCAGAAACAGGCCCGTTTCTGGCCTTTGGAGGCCTTCCGGAGTCTTGGGGAGGCAGTTTTCACCATCTCAGAGGCTTGAGGAAAACCTCTGAAGGCTGGGGAAGGGGAAAATGCTCCTCCTCCCCCCTCCGCTATTGTGCAGAAGACCAACTAGGCCATGCCCACCATGGCCATGTCCACCCAGCAACCGGGCAGAGAACCCGTTGCTGAAATTTTTGAAGCCCACCCCTGCCCAGAGCTACGAATATTCTTTGTTCTAATGAGCTAGTCTAGAATGTAAATTTCTAGCTGCTGTTTCAATGGGAAAATGCAACCTAATTCCTACCAGTCAATTGATTAGCTGACTCAACACAGCAGATTATTGGTTACTTGCCATTAATGACAGCAAGTAATTAGCAGTCTGTTTCCTAACAGGCATCTGATCTACATATTCATTGCATTTTGCATATTAACAGTTCTAAACATCTGGAAAGGAGGCAAGTTCAGCTGTGTCAGGAAAAATGTCCCCTAAGCAAACTCGAAAGCTTATGCAAAAATACAGGTTAAATGCAGGTTAAATGCAGGAATATATATCACATGAGGTAAGAACCGTCTTTTTTTAAAACCACTATGTGCAAAAGAGGTGATATAGCATGAGATCGTTAACTTCTTCCAGAAAGTTATAAGATTTTCCAAAACAAATGTTGGTAATGAAAGCAGATTGTTTCATCATCCAGAACTGGAACACTTAGAGAGCAAAAACAATCACAACATGATACCAGTGGGAAATAAATCCACAACAATAAATCTTACCATTTCTATAACCAGCATAAAATGTGAACAGTTTTAATGAGAATTACAAAAGATCTGGCCTTAAAATTTAGGCTACAGGAAACTCTCTGGTGTAGTTAAACAGGTTGGAGAGAGACTCTTTTAGTTTCCTAACCTGGGGCAAGAGACTGACTTCAAAAGCATTCCCCTTTCCATGATTTAAAAGCCAGATGTTCTTTCCAGCCCTCTGAGACGATGCAAATTCTATCATAAAGATTGTTTACAAAATGTGAAATAATCTTATGTCCATCAAAAGTTTTGGAGAGCAGGTAGCAACTGAATTGATACTAATACCACTTCAGCATGATATATTACTTGAAAGTAAGCTATGGACTGTACCACCTCAAGCTTAAATAAGGGGTAGAAACAAACGAGAAGTGAGACAGCACAAAAAAAAATCAATAGAAGAATTAGCCCATTCTAATATTCTCCACCTCCCATACTATCTTCCATTGTGGAGATTTTCATACGTGCGAATCCTAATTTTCATGGTGAAACTTGAACTTGAAAATTCCCCCATTATTACTCTGGAGGGAATAGAGACTTCCAATTGAAATAGAAGTTCGAAACCCTGTTTCTGTTTAATTTCACTGGAAGAACATAATCCGATTCCTCTTCCAACCAAAGAATTGTCAGGAGTGCTAAAAAAATTCCACACAAGGAATTAAGGAGGACCAGAGGTGGTATTCAGCAGTTTCCAACCAGTTCTGGAGATCCGGCAGCATAATTTTTGAGTAGTTTGGAGAACCAGTAAATACCACCTCTGACTGGCCTCACCCCCATCCATTCTCTGCCTCCTGAGTCCCAGCTAATCGGGAGGAAATGGGGATTTTGCAGTATCCCTCCCCTGCCACGCCCACCAAGCCACACTTACCAAGCCATGCCAGCAGTAAAAAATTCTTTGAATCCCACCACTGAGGAGGACC